TCCAAAACAGAAAATATTCTGCTTTAGCAAAGTTGAATGGATGCTAAATTAAAACTAGTGTCTTAAACTATAGCAGAAACTAAGAAGTAATGAATCATGATTGAAAGGAATCTCAGTGTCTATTATTGCACTGTGCCGTTCTCTCTGTTGTTCCCATCACAGTATTTCCCTGCTGCTAAAAGATTGCATTAAATAGCAATATACACTGTCCATCCCATATCTCTTAAAATACTCCTGTTCGGTGCTTGATGAAAAGCTTACAAATATCACTTAATTCATTATCAGTTCTTTTTAATATCATAAAACCAGGAAGCTTTTGAAAAGCTATTATTATGATAGACATTTTACATGTAACCAAGGCTGGCAATGCAGTACAGTAGTTTCATATGCTAAAATAAACTACAGATACAGATAGTGTAGAAAGAAAAAAAAGAACAGAAAAAAATTTTATCAAAGAATGTTACAATCAAATATTTTCCATTAATAATCTGTTAAAATAAGAACAGATAATATAATATGAAAATTAGTTTTGTAGTTATCGTATTGTAGTTAATTCTAATAGAGTTACATGTTATTGTTTTTCTAAGTAGCAGAGTCTGGTGGTCAGGGCTTTCTTTGTCTTTAAATTTTAAGGGAAGCATAAAAGGATCTATGAGCCAGCTGTTGGCAGATCCTGTTATCAAGGATATAATGTTTTTCACTGTAAATCTCATCTACAAATTGTGATTGTTTTTTCCAACTCACATTTAATGAAGAAAGAATTGGACTTACAACTATACTAAAAACCTTTCCAATCACATAATTGGGATGTTTAATTAAGTGACATACTTAATATGCAAACCTAACACATTCAGAAATGCTCCAGCTGAACTAGATTATAAATAGATGACAATACACTTATTATAGCAAATAAAAATATTGGGCCATTTTCATTACTCTTAAAATAACTGTTTAGATTCACTTGAGAGGAGTCATGATGTGTTCATTGTCTCTTAAAAGCTTTTTCACCCTTTCAATGAGATCCACTTAGAAGTTTAATGTAAACATATTTATAATTTATTTCTTAAAATCTAGAGTTGTCTTCTATCTATTCTAAGATAATGTCTGAATACTTTTGATTTTTATTATTTTGACTCCTGTCAAGTTTCAGAATGTTTCTTCTCTCATTTCAAAATATCTAACCCTATTTTTATGTTCATGTACTCAGTACTTCTTGGTGCACAGAGAAATATATCTGGTTTATGCTTAATTCATCTAATAAAAAAATAACAGAGTAAATTAAGCCCTTATTTGATGTATCACTAGATCTGTCAGTATAGTAAATGCCAAGAGAGAAAAAAATTTCTCTACCTACCAAAGTTAGCCGTTTTCCTTCACTCTTTAATATTTTAATTGATAGAGTACAGTTTTCACTAGTACGTCCATTTAAGTAAATTATTCCTTTTGGTTTCATTTGGTAGCTGCATAATATATCATATTTTCTTAGACCCAACCAAATATTTCTTTGACTTCTCACCAGAAAATATCTGAGGTAAGTTCTTTCTCCCTTCTTCTATCACACATCTAAATTGTGGTTCCTCATAAGAACATTTGCATGAACAAAATTATATATCTAGCGGACAATATTTCCTTAAGCTTAATATCATACTTGCTATTTTAGAAAGTTATCCATAGATCTTTAAATCTGAGACTGACTTTGCCCTTTAAGTATTGATAAGTAGCATAATCTTCAAAAAAATGTATGTACTTAGTTAATCTTTATTCATCTTTTTAGTGAATTCCTAGAGTAGCTTATAGTAGCAAAGAAATGCAATGGGACAGTAACAAAGGTGATTAGGAAGAAGTAAAGGAAATATGTCACTTAAAATGAATCACTTAAAATAGAGAAGTTCTAAATTTTGAAAATTATTCATTTCTAAACAAAGCAAGTTGAGCAGTCTATATCTAGCATAACTGACACTTGTAGGAAAACTAATTTTCTATTAAAATAATTAAAATATTTATAGCCTCAAATATATCATTTTAGAAGACTTTATGTATGTGGATTTAGAGATAATATGATTGGCTTATCTGCAATGTTAGAAATTCCTAAGAAGTGCTTTCCTACATATATAATTATTTTTAATTTGTGTTTTTGTACATTTCTTACTAAAGTAGAATGTTTAATTAGTTGTGTGTTATTTGGCTCATCTTTCTACATATCTTATGTTTATGTACTGTGAGTTATAGATGGCAGTGTCATAGGTGGTAGGCCAGAATCTGCTTAAAATTTACTGAACATCACATTACATGTGATCCGTATGATTTTAGGATGGCAGTAATGTGGTTATTTTTATGCCATAAACTTTTAATTTCAAGGAAAATACAAACTATTTATCATTTAAAAAATAATTATCCAACCATAGCAAAAAAGGGAAAACAATCTCTAAAGAATGCAAAGGTAAAAAAAAAAAAAAAAAAAAAAACTTGCTTAAATTTACTTACACACCAAATAACTCACAATAGCAACAAGTTATAGGATAATATTAACTGTATAAGCTGAAACCTGACTCTAAACTTGAAGTGCATGCCTTTATTCATAAAACTTTTCTTATAAAGTGCATATGTTATCAGTTGCACAAAGTACTTTTAGTTATAGATATAGAGATAAGTAAAAACAATATGCTAAAAGTGATAAGGAGCTGTTAGGTGAGAGAAGTGTGGCAAGTTTCTTATCACAATAAATTTTATAGAAGGTATGTATGTATCTAGATGTGTATATCTATATAGCTATCTGCATATATGTAATATCTATCTACCTACCTATCAGAAGATTGGCAACCTTTTTTTTTTTAAGTCGTCACCTGAGGATGTTTTCCCATTTATCTTCAGATAGAGCAGGAGGGAGGGAGCGAGGAAGAGAGAGAGAGAAACATCGATTGGTTGCCTCCTGTATGACCCCAGCCAGGGCCAGGACAAACTGCAACCAAGGCACATGCCCTTAGCCAAAATCAAACCCTGGACTCTGCTTCATGGGCTCACACTCTAACCACTGAGCCAAGCTAGCCAGGGCAATTAGCAGCCTTTTTTGAAGTTTAATATATCTGTCATTCTCTGTCCCTTGATTTCAGTTTGATTCTTTGTTGTTTGGAGAGAGTATAACGTAAATGATTACAGAAAGAAAGGTCATTTTTATAGATAGATACTTGTTTTCCAAGATGCTTGTTTTAACCATTCTATATGTTTATCAAAGAGCAAACACTTAAGTAAACGGACAATTAAGTGTTTAAACAACTAAACAGGTGGACTACCTTTTGGGTGAATTAATTTTACAGAATGTATTTCAGAATGCCTTGCATTATGATAAATTCAAACACAGTAACCTATAAATATGTCAGTGTGTTCTTTAAAAATCCAAAAATATGGGGAGGGAGGGGGAGAAGGGAATCAGTGGGGGGGGGGGAGGAGAAACATCTGTAACAAAAATTAATTAATTAATTTTAAAAAATCCAAAAATATTTTTGGGAATTACTTTTGAATTTCTTTCTGTTATAATGTAATTATTTTTCTTCCACAAAATTGGATCTACTTAATTCAAATTTCCAGATACCAACAGGAAATAAAAAAGACATAGCTCTTTCTTAGTATTAAATATGAAGATTTTTTTTCTTGAGAGAGGACTTAATTCACCCTGAACTTTTATTTTTTCTTCTAATTTCTTTTTTATTATTAATTTCTCCTTTCTTTATAACATACAATGCAGACTTAAAAATTGTGAATTACATTTGAAGAGACTATTAAAATAAATTATGAGCCATGTCTTTTAATCTTTTTCTCTTTTCAAAGACACATGTTGTCCCAATAATTTGTTCTAAAGTATTATTTATATAAATACTTTATTTTATTTATAGTAAGAGTGAATTGTTTTTTCTAGGAAAGAAATTGATTGTTTTTTCAAAGGTTGCAAAATTGGCAAGTTGACATGCCAGTTGGTACTACAATTAATGCCTTCAAATAGTGCAACTGCCTTGGAACTTAGCATATACCTCAGACTTATGCAAGGTTTTTCTGATTACCTCTCCTGTCATTATTTTCCTCTCTCTCCACATCCTTGTCTCTTTCTCAATTACTTTCTCTCTAGTTTTTCCTTACTCTCTATTTTTCTTGTTTCCTCTCTCCCCTGTTTCTTTCTTTCCCTCTGTATTTCCTTTTCTTTTTTGACTCTTTAATTCTCAAATCATTGAAGAGAAAGAAAATGGTAGAAAGAACATTTTAAGCAAAATACTTTTTTTTCAGTTTAATGAAAAATCTTTGAGTAAATTTTAGATTTCTGGGCTTCTTGGTGTAAGTTTAGTTAGCTTGAAATAAAATTTTTAAAGAAGCTGTGATTTCTTCTTTGAGAGGATTTATGTAGCAGTTTTCTAGGATATATACCATAGATGAGTTACTACATATACTCATGTAGTAATATGTGTTATAATATATATTTTTCTAGTACTATTATATATTTTATTTATATATGAAATTTTGAAGATGGTGATTATTTTTTATGAGTAAACACATTCTAATACATTATTTTTACTAGCTTTGATAACATATTTATAAGCATATTATTTCCTATTTAATCTTTATTATTTACTTTAATCATACCTTTAAACCATTTCAAAAAGCTTTCATTTATAGCACTCAGACTGAAGATGATCGATTATGATATACTGAGATAACTGACTTGTAATTGTTTATTTTTAACTATGCTAGTAAAAGCTCAAATACCTTAGTATAATATATTAGAGGTGTGGAACATAAAAATAGAATCATATGAAATCTGATACATCTAGAAAGCTAGTGTAAAAAAAACAGTGGTACTAAATATTATTATTAAATAATTATATAATATAACAAATATTGCATATAATTATCAGTCACCATCAATAAGGAATTTATTAGAGATGACATACAGCTGTGAAATATGTTAACAGACATTAGTTGTGACCACATTTTCTCTTTCTCTCTCTGTCTAGGTACCTGTGTCAGTGGCCATGATGACTCCCCAGGTAATTACCCCTCAGCAAATGCAGCAGATCCTTCAGCAGCAAGTCCTGTCTCCTCAGCAGCTCCAAGCCCTTCTCCAGCAGCAGCAGGCGGTCATGCTGCAGCAGGTAATGTGGGTTACCTGCTTTGGTGTTCTAGCATGGCACAGAATATGCCCCATGTTCAAAACATCATGGGCATATTTGACAATTTATTTGAAGGGACAACCTATCAGCATTGCTGGAACATAAATGTAATGTTTTAATTGCAGAGCTGCATAAGAACATTTAGATCCCTTGGTCTTTTTAGATTCATTAAAGTGTAAAATAAGAGCAAAGAGATGTGTAATTTCAACATGGAATTATTTAAATATCCAAATGCTTAGGTACATTTGCTTTGTAGACTTGCCAATAAACGGGCAAAGAGACTTATAGATAAGTGTTACTTTTAAAACTCCTAACACTTTAGCACTCTTTTTAGTTCATGTAAGTATGAAATTTGAACTGGCCATTTTGTTACAGTAAGGAAAATAACATCCCAATTTTTTTGTCAAAAATATATCCTTTGTTTAGGAAGAGAAGTATCTACTTATGAGAACAAAATTAAACAGCTAAGCCACCAGCTCATAAAATTTATCTTTAAAAAAAAAAAAAAACTAGCCAGGCTGGTGTGGCTCATGGTTTGAGTGTCGACCCACGTACTAAGAGGTTGCCAGTTCAATTCCTAGTCAGGTTACATGCCCAGGTTCTGGGCCCAATCCCCAGTGGGGGGTGTGCAGGAGGTGGCCAACTGATGTTCTCTCTTGTTAATGTTTCTGTCTCTCCCTCTCCCTTCCTCTCTCTAAAAATCAATAAAGAAAAAATATTTAAAAATAACAAAACTAATATATATATCATTGGAACCCTAAGTGTATATAAAGTGGACTTTATGTTATTGATTTACTTATCATAGAGAATCTTGTGCTTTACCTAGATTTTTATATATTTAATTACTTTGTTATCTTCTATGATGATGACCACAGGCCAGTTGCTTATATTTCTGTCTGACATACTTCTGTACATCTGATGGATTAAAATTTTTTTCCATTCATAACTGAACAACCTGATTCTCTATAGCTATGTATTTGGGTCTTATAAATGGTAGACTATAATCTATTTTTATATGCTATTGGGAATTCAGATTTCATGATTCAGGGTATTTATTTGGCCTTGGCCCTTTAGAATATAGATTTGTATACCCTTCAGTTTAGGATTGTTTTGGATTCTGGGTTGGAAGATTTCAGAGCTGCCTTGGGAAAACATGTATATAGCTCCGTCTCCTTAAATCCAATGTATATTTTTTGTTGCTCTTGTGAGACAAATCTTAATGGACACTCTACTGTATGCCAGTCTAGAAGAGTTTAGGATATTTTTAATACATGAAACTTTTGCCCTTATTTATTAAAGTCAAAATGGTTTATTCAGCAACAACTACAAGAATTTTACAAGAAACAGCAAGAGCAGTTACATCTTCAGCTTTTGCAGCAGCAGCAACAACAACAACAGCAGCAGCAACAACAGCAGCAGCAACAGCAACAGCAACAACAGCAACAGCAGCAGCAGCAACAGCAGCAGCAGCAGCAGCAGCAACAACAACAACATCCTGGAAAGCAAGCTAAAGAGGTAAGATCTGGACACTCATTAGTATAGAAGAGTATGAGGTTGGGAAGGGCTTTGAGGTGAGAGTGGTCTCAGATCTTCTTATCACAAGACTTTTGCTGTCAAAGATGCATTATCATACATTTTTACTGAGCATAATAACAGTGACAGCACTGTCCTGCTGTCCTTTTTTTTAATTGCTTGGAACTTGAGAGTTCTAATCGATTGCTGCTGTTGTCTAATGTTCACTAATGAATCAGTGTACAAAGAGTAAGGTGTGTGGTGGACAAAGTACAGATTACCTTGTATTTATAGAAAATTTAAATTGGTGAGGGAACCATATTTTTCTTAGTGCTGTAGCTCAGAGAATATGCATGCAAATTTGGCCAATTGTTGGGTGTTGGGGGACTAGGGGAGAAACTGGTCGAGCACAGATTTCAAAGTCACAAACCTCTGATTAATGAACTGCTACTGTAGGTTTGGAGTAGCAAGTAGAAAGTTACAGTTTGATATGCTCATAAATCAAACTGACAAGCTGGCTTCTCTGGCCTAGCTTGCACTTGTCAGCAAACTGCATCAAATATAAACATAATACAAACAAAACATGTTGAAGTAGTTAAATTGATCAGCAGGTATCAGAGCCGTTGTCTTCAAGCTGCCATTATGCAAACGTCCAGGAAACAGTTTTGACCTCCCGAGGCTTTGATTCTGTTTGGATTTGTGAATAGAATTTCAGACAGCCATCAAGTACAGAATAGAAATTGCTCCCTTATTTCTCTGGAGGCTTTGGGCAATCCACATGACTTGCTCCATTATGCAGTCTGTTTTCCAGTGAGCGCATCAGAAGTTTCTTTTCCCCAAACTAAAAAGAAAAGGTCTTCCACAGCAGCTTGTCTTTCTCTGAAGTTTGACTTCCTTCTCATACCCTTCTGAGGCCAAAGAACTAGAGTTTGTATTGTGATGCCTCACAAAATTGGAAGTTATACTTTACCTTATAATAAGGACACTTTTTTAGCCTTGAACATAATTCAGCCTTTAATATATTCCAACAAGAGAGGAGAGAGAGGAAGAAAGAGAGCTAACAGGTCTATCTTGTGAAGGTTACATCCCAGTTTACTAATAGATCACTAGAGACCATATTCATGGACTTCTGCAGATCGAAGTTATTCTGTTGGAAAAAAAAAAAAGAGAGAGAGAGAGAGAGTGAGTGTGTGTGTGTGTATTGTTGAACTTAACTGTTTCTATAAACTGTTATTCTTTTAGTCTTGTTAAATTTGCTATCATCTACAATAACCCAATATATATATTTTTTATATCTGAACCTTTGTTATGTATTTTCACTAGATTTTGCCCCATGCTCTTAATACAAGTTCATTGGTTCTCTACTGCAGTGTAATATCTGAAAGAAAGGCAAGTAAAAATCTAGAACTTGCATATATTCTGCTCTTGAAAACTTAACAAGTAATGAGAGGAGTGTGCATTTCTCTCTATGAGATCTGTTTGTGCATACCATGTTCTCAGCTATTGACTGGGCTGCGTTTTCTGACAGCAGCAGCAGCAGCAGCAGCAGCAGCAGCAGCAGCAGCAGCAGCAGCAGCAGCAGTTGGCAGCTCAGCAGCTTGTCTTCCAGCAGCAGCTTCTCCAGATGCAACAACTCCAGCAGCAGCAACATCTGCTCAGCCTTCAGCGTCAGGGACTCATTTCCATTCCACCTGGCCAGGCAGCACTTCCTGTCCAGTCGCTGCCTCAAGGTACATACAAAATGTGGTGCACACTTCATTTGTAATGTTGCACTTTCTACCATTTTATGGCCTGTCTACTTTATACCTTGAGAATTTTGTTTTTATGACCTTCGGGTTTATTATTTAACACAATTAACATGGTTGCATTACATTGTTTTGAGACTCAGAAATTTTACTATACCCTGCCTTCAAGTGTATTGTTAGATATTAAATGTGCATCTATTAGTCACATGGCAGAAAATAATTTATAGGGACAACACAATTCAAGCACTATTAAACACACACTGAAAATCTGGAGGAAACAGGATTAGTGGTAAGGCTAACAACACTCCATTTAACATAAATGAGCTGAGTTTTGTGGACAACTGATCAGAAAAAGAAAGAATTTCCTAATCTTCATGGTAAAACCTCCACATATAAAAGAGAAGCTTTATGTATTTCTACAAAGCACATTTCTAGCTATGCTGTGTGGGATCTCATCATATATTGTGTGATCAGACTGATCCTATTTTTTCTAAAATAATGTTACCTATGCACATATTGTAAATTATAGCTTTAAAAAGCTGTCAACTGTATTATTTGTTTTTATAAGAAAATTTTGGATGTACTTTGATAATACAATAACACTATAAAATAATAGAATACCATATAATAATAAAGTTGTATATATTTATCCTTTGACTCCTAACTTTTTGGAAATGGAAGGAGTTCTCGATTTAAAAAAAAAAACAAAAAACAATAGTAAACAAAATGATTCCTTCCTTATGTGCTAAAATTCTTGATACAGGTAATTAGAAATCATATATTGTTAAACTTTGTAATAGCATATGCTAATTTGCATTAGGATTTTGTTAGAACAAACTTTAATCTCAATGAACTTTATTTTTAGTTCATTGTATTTGTTACATGGGGATCACATTGTAGCAGTATTTGCTGTACGTTTTTCTCACTCAAGGATATGCTGAAGAAAATAAAAAACAATTAAATATACAAAAATTAAAATTAGGCAAATAAAAGTCTTTAAAGTGTACATAATCATTGTTTTTGCCATGAGAGATTAAAATAATATGGTAAATGTTTTTTTCTTTATTTATCAAATTACTGTTTTTTTGGATTGTTTTTCCTAGAATTTCCTCTTTCACTTGACTTCAGATCCTTTAATCCACCTGATCTTCTAATTCAATTCTAGGAAATCAACAAAGTTTAAATAGTGAAAGAAAAGGAAGGCAATAAACCCACTTTTCTGTGTCACTCCTAAGAGAATTGGAATGAATCATGGTGTCACCATAGCAATGAATGTTCTATTAACAAATTAATTGTTCTTTAGAAAAATAAATACAATTTGAGGATGAATGAAGAAATTAAGGTTAAAACAAGAAAGAAGTTTATAAATTAATTCAGTGTAAACATGGATATCCACTAAATAAGAGGCAAAAAATATTATCTTATTAAATTTTTTCAGTAAAAATTAAAGTATGTATTTAGGATCTAATTTTATGAAAATCTCCTCAATAGAGATGTATGATCTACCATGATTTTGTTTGACTAAAAACATTCAAGCAAACATTTCAAGGAAGTTTAAAATAGATGTTCATAGAAACAAAATGTAACTTATTTGAAATATATTTATTAAACTATATTTTTCCAAAACAAGCATAAAAAATATCTTTCTGAACAAAGCAATTTATTATGATATAACCATTGTAATAGGTTTCAAATGAAAGTTATTCTCTCATCTCTAAGCTTGCTTTAGATAGAATTATCTTTTTTCCCTGTTATTTATTTGTTGACTGAGCTGTGAGATAAAACACACAGGATAGAGAACATTGAGAAAAAGGAAGTAAATCTGAAAAGATATCGGTTTGAGCAGAAAATTTGTATTTTAAACAAAAAAGATAAAAATCATTATCATGTTTTTTACTGTTTAGATGAGCAGGTCTGAAAATTTTCATTGTTGAGACATATCAGCCAAACACAGTCAGACTGTCATAACAAGAGACAGTAAGTAAAAGACATGACTTCATAGCCCTATGCTGGAATCCCAAAATTAAAGTGCGGGAAAGTAAAGAAATATTTGTTAGATAATGTAAGCCCTGAATAATTTCTGTCTTAGTTATTGGTTATTTCAGATAAAAAATATTTTAAATATTTTATTTATAGTTTCCCAGTGCACTTTGCACCAGGTTTTGTTTGGTTGCCTGATTAGCCATGAATAAAAGTCATATGAAAACTAAGTAGGATTAATGTGTATGATAATGTTTTCATTACATTCTTGAAAATATGTCATGTTTGAAGTATTTATCCTCATGATTTAATACAACTTCCTTGGGCTGTTTTTGAATTTAAAACTTTTTAAAACTATATAAAAAATATGAGTATGAGACTCAGATAATTTTAAAAAGAGTAGGAGAAATACCCACATTTTTCTTTATATTTTAAAATAATGCAATGTATTTTACCATTTCAAAGTAAATTATTTTAAATATGAAACATTTAAAGACATCATGAGTATTACTATAATAATGAATTTTAATGTAAAGCATGCAATTAGATTATTTCTATGTGTATAGAGTGACTGTAGATATACAGAAATAAAATAAAAAAGATGGATTTATAAATCAATCTCAAATAAAAATACTGAATATAAAGCTATTTCTTACCTAGATAGCACAGTATTTATATTAACTTGTAATTATTCAGGGACACATTTTCATTTACTATGGGTTAGAAAATAGGTAACTATTGTGCATATACTTTAAATTTTGATGTTTATCACATAAAGTAGAAGTCATTATATCCCAATATACAATATATTCACAGATTTACTATGATTACAGGGAATAAAATATATTTAGTAAAAACTCCACTTCATTCCAACTTTTTACATATTTTTGAACTTGTAAAAGTTATTTAAAACATAACATTTTCATTACCAATCTGAAAGACAAAACAGGTAATGCTGGCTATCAAGCCAACACTGTTTTGAACTAATACTTTGTAGAACTAGAACAGCTTGGAATCAGAGAATTGTTGAATAATAAAGAACATAAAATATTTTGAAATAATATATAATAATGTCATTTATGCTGAGTTAGCAATGTGCTGAAGTCTGTCTTTGGTATGAGTGTTTAGCCAAAATCAGTTATTTGGCTTTCACTTCATCCTCTGCATATGGAAATCTAAATAGCCAGATGCCTATTTCTACACCACTGCTGGCATCTTTGATTTTTTTTACTAATCTATAGTCATGTGCTTGCATAGATTACCATTATATAATCGGGGTAACAACACCAGTAATATGAACAATGCATGTCATGCAGAATTATTGCTACCATCATAATATTGCCTTTCAAATACCAGTAAGCCTTCTATTTGTAATTTGGAAGGAAAATTTGGGGGAGGGAGGGGGGTTGTATGCTGAAACTCCATCAGTGAGCAGAAGTATAAATTTACATTTATTTACTCAGGTATAAAACTTAGCAAAGTTACCTGTAAATGCTGCTAATATGTATAAAACTAACTTATAAATTATTAAATACATTGCAAAATATTAAAGTTTGTTGAGTTAGTTTTTGAGAAAATGTAAAAAATATAGAAAGGCAAAAATTAAATTATATTAATTGTTTTAGAATTGTTTAATGAGATAGCATGCATAATTTCATTTAGGCCATGAGACTTGAAAAAAAACTTGTTTGTTAATTCTTTATGTCTTGAAGGAAGACTAAAAAGTAGAATGTCAACTTAACCACATTAAAATTTTGTTATGATAAAAACTAAGAAATGATTGTTTTATAATAGAATTTCAAACTTTAAAAATGCAACCTGTGAAAATTTTAGTATTAAAATCATAGGAGTAATTTTTAAAATGTCAAATGTATTCCTGTATCTCAGAAGTTCCTTTTTTGGTGGCTATATGTGCTCTTGGTCTCAATTTCAGCCAAATAGTGATTTTTACTTCTTATAATTCAGCATTTGGACAAAATGTGTATCTGGTGCTCCTTTATTAAACATATATTTTAATGATGGGCATAATACCTACAGGTTATAGTAGGCCCTTAGTTAAATATAAAACAATAATGTGTTAGATTTGGCACATTATATATGAACAAATAGATCTCTGAAAGGTAGCCCAGAAGCCGGAGTAATGGTTGCTTCTGAGGAGGAGAACCGAAGACCCAGAGGTCAGGACTGGTAGGGAAATTTAAGTTTGCAATGTATACCATTTTCTGTGATTCAATTATTTCAACCATTTGTATATACTAGTCTTTCAAAATTTAAAACTTAATATAAAAAAATTATGTGATACTATTTCAATAATTCAAATTAGTATATCAAATTGGTTCAATAAAATATATGGGTGATAAAAATACTTCTATCAGAATTTGTTTTCATTACTTCTAATTTAAATAACCCTAAAAAATAAGCAGAGTACTAATAAATAAGAGAATTAAAAATTTACAGTGGACTTACTTTTCACCATAATATGTAAAATATATTAATTTAATATTGGAAACTAGTTATTGGACACAGAAAATGAAAGAACATTAAAAGAACCTTTTATTTCTTAATGTGCAAGAACTGCCAATGTAATTTTTACTAATAAGTAACATCACTGAAATTTTTAAACCTTGTGTGCCCCAAACATGTATAATCTAGATATGAATTATGAAATTTTAATTCTTAGCATAGGGCATGGCACCTAATTATTACTCCACAAACTCCGGTTCCAAAATTAAAGAATTATTATTTAATTGCTTTATCTATAGTATTATATACAATTTGGTTAGAAATTTATTTCTTGATTAATTCACCTCCTGGAAGAACAGACACTTTAATGCTTATTTGTAGTACTAGCATTGAACAAGAACAAGCCCAAGTCGTCATCAAAAAGTAGAATATGGTTTCTTAATTTCATGTGGTCATAATTATGAAACTTTTTACCACTAGTATGTATACAACCCTGAAATAAGTTATTAAGTTTACTATTTTTTTATGATGGTCCAGTCCAG